CTGAGCTGTGGTCATCCAGACTGTCATCCAGACTTCTTGTCGTTTGGATCCAGTGGGTTCACTGTGAGATGCCTTGAGTGGGGCTAAGCGGCTGCTGCCAACTGGAGTTCACTCCAAAGCAAGAGAGGCACCGACCCCAGCCCCAGACCAATCAAGAGTAAGCATGCACCTGGAAGGAAGCAGCCAGGGGCCTCGAGACGACCTGAGAACCTCTCGTTTCACGACTGTTTTCACTGGGATCCAATTGAATCACTAACTTTTTTCCAGGTTGGTACCGTCACTCTGAACCTGCTGCGGCTAGAACATGGAACACTTGGAGAAGACATTGCCATGTTTCTCTTGCTTACTGGATTGTCGGATGCGAAGTCCACCACCAGCTGACGCGGAGCCCAGCTTCCATGAACTTCCCCCTGCTCTGCTCTGCGCAGCCAGGACCGGCCTGGAGGCCTTTGACGCTGCCTCCCGCCAGGAAGAGCTCCGCAACGGCCGCGGCCAACGGGAGGCCGCAAGACCATGACTTGGGAGGTCGGTCTTTAGATAGAAACGCCTTGAAGTAGGTGGAGACTGGTCTTTGCAGAGCCTTCTATCATGTTTATTTTAAAGACCTTTGTTTACTTTGGTTGGGGCTCCTTTGGACAAAGATGTGAGACACATAAGAACTGAATCTACCTGTTTTTGCCCACTGTTGGGGGCTCCCAACAGCACGAGGACTGCTGGAAGACCAACTCCCCAGCAAGTGAAATTCGCATTGCGAGCGTGGTGAGTGGTGAAGTGCAAGTTTTCTGGCCCTGCCGATGAAGTGCCCAAACCTTCATGCCAATCAAAATGGCAGCCCCGAAGGTCCAAAAGATGTCACCGTCGACGCTGAAATCCACCCTGTCTCAGGCGCCGTACCCTCCGTGGAATCCCCCATTTTTGGACGAATCAGACATCATCAATAAGTCCACCGGGCGATGCCACCAGGAGCAATCCTTCCGAACCACGGAGGGCTTCAGCAGCTTCAGCAAGGCCGCGGGAGAGCTTCAGTTGCCCTTTGAGATTGGGGGTGGTGCAGGATTTCGTGAGGCCCGTCTCGACCAAGGATGTGCACCCCTTGGTGATTTCGACATTTGAGCGCAGGTCTTTTTAGGTCAGCCGTCGCCCTGCACACCAAATGCAAGAAGGGGGGCGAAGAAAGGTGGCTTCATTTGGCTCTCAATGTTTTCTGGGCTCTTCTAGTCGCCAGCGGAAGACCAGTTTTAGATTTCTCCAGACACCAGCTTTACCTCTGGGTCTGGGACGAAGTACTTCCACCATTCTTTTGATGCCAGGAGTCGGACTATGGGGACATGGTGAATTGGCTTCGCGTGGGTACCCTCTTTGGTGCCGGGAGCCCATCATCTTCTTTTTTCTTGTTTCTTCTTACTTCTTTTTTGTCCTTCGATTCTAGTTCCTTCTTCTTCTTCTTCTTCCTGCCGCTTCTTCTACAGTAAAATTTCCATTTGCCATGTGGTTGGGCATGAGAGGCCAAACTCCTGCCCTCCCACGCTCAACTGAGGAGCTCGCCCTACAAAATACGGAGCCGCTGGGGAACTCAGGAGATGCTGGGAGAAAGGGCCTGATTTTGGGGCATGGATGTGGATCAAAGCAAGAAACCACAAGATATCAATCTACAGCAATAGCGACCTTCAAGTGTTTTGGGATGGTGGTGCGGGATTTGTTGTGCTTATGTTATATGTGCACGACTACGACTCGTATAGTTTCTTTACATGTCGTTTGCATGTTTGCAGATCTATCTGGTTTGAAGACGATCATGTGTATGTAATCTATTGTTATATATATAATTACATGTCAGTGCGCATTTGTCAAAACGCATGCAGCGGAGCAAGCCGCACGTCAAGTGGAATACCAAGTGCCCATTCATGTCCGTTGCCTTCGAGCAAAGGCTTGCCTTGGCGCTTAAGAGAGTGCCACTAGCGTCAGAGTGCGGGGTGACTATTGGCTCAAGTCGTTTTCGGGTGACGCTTGTGGACTCTCATCTGCATCAATGGCTCAAGTGGGTGGATATTGAGATGCAAGCTCTTCACTCAGTTCATCTATATAGCTAAACCAGCAGGTCTTGAATTGATTCATTGATCTTCTGCCTCCACCCTGTTCAATAGTTGGCGAGAAGCCACCTTGCAGTGAAACCAGCTAGGCGGAACGCCACCATCATGCTGGGCACTCGGGTCATCCAAGCAGCATATCGTGGCAGTGCCCCTCTATGAGTCTATAAATGCTGTGTATATCCATGCTTGTATGTGTGCACATGCGCACACGCACATGTATAATATATACATACCAGACAACGACATATCTATTCAATTCTATATCAGATTCCCAATCCCAACCCCCAAAAGTGGAACAAATGAGAGAAGAGCTGCTCAGTGTGGCCCACTTCTCTCAGGTGTTCCCAAGACTGCGAGCTGCTCCGGCTTCGCAAAGAGGCCGCATTGAGCAGGGCCGGGCTGTGGTCCAGTGCTCTTTGATTGGTGCTCAATGGATGAATGTCATGCTTGGGGGTTGAGCGCCTTGGTGGACTGGGCATGACTTTAGTTTTAAGACCAGGAGACCTATACATTTTAATCTATTCTTCTTTTTCACGGGCGGTTTTGGGAGGTATTTGTGTGACTTGGAGCGCTGTGGGACAGCCGGAGCGCTGTGGGACAGCCGGGTGGTTGCATTCCACCGGTTTGGGCACTCAAGGACCGGCAGAACCTTGATCAAATGACTCACTTTTTCAAGGAATTTCCCTCCGTCGTTGGCTCTCCGACTTCGCCCGGGTGTTCCGCCGTGCCCGCGGGGACTATTCCGGTGGGACGATTCCGGTCGTTGCGGCTGGCCAGGACTATTTGAGCGCCATCCAGGGCTCCAAGCAGAAGGCGAAGAGATGAAGGGCAGAGACAGGGATGTGACTGGTCCAAAGGCTCTACGAATCAGCCCTCGTGGACAAGCTAGTTGACGGTTCTTGTGAGAGTCTTTGGAAACCAACAGGGTCTTGATGGCATAGCCGTTGGCAACGAAAAGAGCCAAATTGAAGATAGTGCCAATTTCCAAAGAAGCCTGCGAGTGATGTCGTTGATGGACGGCACCTATCAAGAACCACAAGGGAAGACAGGACACCTGTTGAATCTACTAGGTTCTGGCAGGCTTCCATGGGGGTACTCATGGAGGCTCCAAACACGGAACCCTCGAAAATCCGATGCTTGCGGTTCTGACGTTTCACCTACCTGAGATCTACTTCTTCGACCGCTTCTTGTTGCCCTTCCGCGAGAATGCCGACAAGCGTGCACAAGGCAGCCGGGCGGGGTAGAGACAGGCCCTTTCCACAGAGGGAACTCGTGGTTCCTGGCAAAGGGGCGCCAAATAGATTGGAAGGCATGGACGCACTGTTCAAGGCAGTGTTCCGGTTTCTGTGCCTTTCGTGACCCTTGGTGTGTATTAAAGATTATTAAAGCATGTCCAAAAATGTAGAAGTGGAGGTTGTGGGTTGATGGTAAATGGACTATCTAAGGACTATATAGATCAATGATTGCCGCATTGGACCTTGGATCGGCAAAAAACCGTCCATGACTCCATCCATCTATGCGACTTCGTGGCTTACCTTTCACCAAACCTTTGACCCTGCTATGTCTTCTATGTCTACTATGTCCGTCCACAGGAAATTGCAGGTGCTCAGGTGTGCTCCATTCGCATCAGCTCAGCTCCCTGAGTTCGAAAGCGGAGACAGCGCAGGTGCCATGACGCAGCACCCGTCCGGGGTCCCGTGGATGGGGGTCCTGTCCTGTGCATGTTGGATGGTCATTGGAATTGGACGATCGTTGCCGCGTTGTAGAACTTCCCGGTGTTTGGTACTGTGAGATGGGCAGGGAATGGGAGGGAGCTGGGTTGTGTTCGCTGCATCAGGTCCTTGCTCTTCGCGGATGAGATTTTTCGTGATGGCCTGGGGGCGGAGAGAAGAAGTGTGAGTCCATACTGCGGTGTCGTCTTTGTTCAAGCCAAGACTGCCATCAAGTCCTAGATTGCATAGCCTGGGGCGAACATCAGAGATTTGCTGGACCCCGCTTTTGTTTTTGACGGGGTGACCCTCAGTGTGCGAGAGCAGCCGCCAGGGCAGACGATCACCACACAGGGCGTCATCGCGGAGCCCAAGATCTTTGTCTTGGGGGCGCGGTGTGCGCGTTCGCGCAGCGCGGGGCAGGGCAAAGCCAGTCCAAGGGTTGTCACCTATGTGCATCCCAAGTTGAAATGTTGTACCCGGATACCCTCCTGCTCACGGACATGGAAGCGGAAAGCCCCTTTTTGTGGAGGGAAGTTTCGTGTTAGTAAATCGGAGTGAAGGACCTCAACTCGGAACAGTAACACGCTCTCTCGCAGGCATCTGCCCGGGCCGAATTCTGCAGATATCAGAACTCTGGTCAAAGACCCAGTTTCATCAAGCGCGGTAGATTGATAGATAGGGTGTGTCTCATTACCAGTACTATATACAAGTCAGATTATCACCATTTTGGACGTCATCATCCTCTGAAACTGGTAATGGGACATGCCCAAGGTGTGCAATATTTTGCGCATGTAGGGACTTCAAGATGGGTCGGTCAAGCTAAGGCGATAATCCTGCATACTTCTTGAGCAAAAGGCCACAGAGTGCCGGGCGCCTCAAGTCCAAGGTAAGCTAAGATGCCAAGAGGTTTTTCAAGCTGAGGTGATTGTTTCGTCTTGGTGTGTGGTGATTGTTTAGCCAACGGACGCAGAGAACATCGCCGAGCTGAAGAGCTTTTATGACACTCCCCCTTTTATGCACCGGGCGCCCGTAGCCATTCTTGGACTTGAGCTTATGCAATGCAAAGCAGTGCTGATTTTAACGTTGGCTTGACAAAACATGGAGACCGCAGCCAGGGCAGAACCCACAGATTTCGCTCCACACTTTGTTGACATTCAGACCTTCCTAGCAGTCCAGTTTCCTTCAACTATATAGGGTTCTAGGATTTTCAAACCTCCTGCATCTAAGCCTACCGCCTCCGCCGCCTCCTCCAAACATCCTCCATCACGTCCACGTGGCCCACATGACCGACTCGAGCATCGAGGAGCGGCCCTCCTTCGCCTGGGGCGACGTGCAGCCCTTCGTCGAACGGCACTTCTTTGGCGCTGTGGAGCTGGTGAAGTCGCTGCCGTCGGAGCGGGATTTGAACTTCCTGGTGAAATTGGACGAGGAGCTGGCGGTCTTTAAGGCGAGGCGATGGGAGATCTACCGGAGATCGAGTGATAAGAGCAGTGAAGGGGTTCAGGGAAAGAAGTCTTTTGGCAATACCAAACACCTTGGTTGTTATGCAGGCGGTTTGCCCACAAGAGGTTTTTGGGATGAGCCCCAGGAAGCGTCAAGGGAGGAGCCAAAGCCCTTCAACCCAGGTCCGTGGGATTCTCGAATGGCCGTTTGGGGCCCGAAAGGCCGCCTTCGCCTTTGCGGACCGTCCACCGGCGATCGCCTCCGCCGGTGGCCTTCGCCTCGCCGGTGGTTGGCCAGGTCCACAATCCCACGGATCTGCAGGACTTCGTGGAATGTCAGTGCCTGGCCCTGGAGCACGTCGCCCAGCATGGTGCCTGCTGTCAGCGTTTGCTCCGCTCCAAGAGCAAGGAGTTTCTCATAGCCTTGGAACTCGAAGGCCACCGGCGATGCATGTGCAGAGCCCTGAGTTTTTTGCCCGGGCGTATGTTGGCAGAGGTCGCGCAGGAGATGGCGGAGAGTGGGGAGAGATTGGCACAGTTGTTTGATGCGGTTGGGACGGCTGTGGGGCAGGTGACGGCAGCGTTGCTGACTTTTGAGCATGCAGCTGCAGAGCGCGAGTTTGTTTGGGACCTCCAGCGATGCTCGCAAGTGGTTGATGCTCACATCAGTGATGTTGAGGAGGACAATCGTGCTTTGTTGCAGCGTGTGCTTCAGTGCCAGATGGTCGAGTTAAGGAATTTGCTCCCGCGACTTCGGCGCTCGATTGTTCACAACGACCCGAATGACTACAATCTGGTGGTGAATGGTGGGCAGGTGGGAGTTCTGGACTTTGGAGACATGGTGCACAGCTACACTTGTGCAGATGCTGCGATTGGCATGGCGTACCTTCTGTTCCACGTCCCTAGCAGTATGCCTTTGGTGGAGGGGGTCTTGCCTTTTGTTCAGGGCTTTCATCGAGCCTGCCCTCTGGAAGAGGTGGAAGTCGAAGCACTTTTTGGTTTGGCGGTATGCCGTGTTTGCACCTCTCTATGCATGTCGGCACATCAGAGCAAACTGGAGCCCGACAACGAGTACTTGCTGATCAGTGCCAAGCCTGCGTGGAGGCTCTTGACACGAGTCGATTCAGAGAAGGTTGAGCATGCCAAAGACATTTTCAAGCAGAGTTTGGGACTTCAACCTCGAAGCACTCACTGAGGCGCCAAAGGTCTGCGGAGGAGCTCGCCACTGCCACCTCTTCCCATTGTGGTAATCTGTTTGGGCAGAACCCTTGTTAGTTGTTCGGAGTACAAGTCACTTGCGGGGGGCCCATGCCAAGTAAACAGACTTGGCAACCTTCCCAAGCTGTTGCCGTGTACCTCTCATATCTCCTGTCCTGTATGGTCCGTCAGAGCACTGCAGTTGTGTGAGATTCAGAGATTCACTCAGAGCAGTCACAAAAAAGGCTCAGCTTTGGCCTAAGGCTCCCAACCAGAAGGCAGGAGACGGCAGTGGGGTGGTTTTCCGATGGAGGCCTTCATATCACCAACAGTATCCAACAGTGGTACTTATTGTCATTGTAGAATGTGTTGGATGGGTGTCCACCCTTCTTCTCGTCACATCTCGATTTTATCTCGATCACATTCCGCACAGGAATTCTGGTGGTCCAGCCACGTGTCTATCTATACTTCATACATACGTAATTACACATAGATGCCAAGATCAACCGGCCAAATCGTCCGTTTCCTTCCCTAAGCCGCTCGTGGGAGGCGAATCGTTGCCGCGCCCTCCTGCGGGATGACCTGGAGCGTTGCCGCCACGATCAGGACCGAAGGGAAGTCCAAAACACGAGTTCCCAGATTCAGGTGTTCCTCGATTTGTTCAGATGTTCAGATCCGGAGTTTCAGCTGCCACAAAGCGAGAGCGGTCGATCTACTCTTCTTCGAAGAGATTTTGTTGGACAACAAGCTGAATTAAAACTAAACATAAAACCATGAGTAGCCCACCGTTCAGCTCGAGTGAGATCCGTGGTGGTATAGGCCCCTTGGTTTATCACAAGACTCTCCAGTGCGAATCTTGGCCCGAATCCGGATGTATTAACGTGGGATTCACGGTATATAACTAACTACGTTTGGTTCTCCTGCTTCAATCTTTTTCCAAAAGATGGAGAGCTCGCTTTGCGGCAACCAACGCCTCCTCTCAGGAGTTGCGGCACTGTGCCGCGGTCTTTCCCACAGAGGAGGAGGGGCTACAGCTATGCCGGCAGTTGTCCGGCGATGCAAAACGGGAGCTCGACCTGACCAACATGTTTGAATGCAAGAAGTTGGCAAGAGATGCAAGACCAATCAGACAAATATTTTTGCATATCATATCACATATCATATGATATGTTGTTGTGGATGCTTTTGCAATTCTATCTCTGGGGTCCAGTGCCGCCCGACCTCCCGCTTCAGGAGATGGAGGTGTGCCATGTCCTGAAAGAGGGAGGTGCCTGCCTTTCGGGCTTGTGGGTGGCTTTTTGGGAGGTCCAAATTTGGGTTATCTGACCTCTCAAACTTAACTTGCCTTACATCCGAACAAGGTTGCACTGCACTTGGCCGATCATGCTAAAGCCAAGACATGCTCAACCCGATCTGCAGGGATCTTCGGCACGCTGGCGGCGGTCGCCAACGTGGGCCCGGAGCCCTTTTCCATCGCCGGGCAGCCTGGAGCACGGTGGGCTGCAGCTTGGACCCCGAAGGTCCTCCATATACTGGGCCCACTGGAAGACGCTCGCGTGTCGGCAGGGTCTTCTGCTTTTGGGGGACGTGTGGCGAGGCTTATTACATGAAAAGTCTGACACAGCTTGAGTAAAGTAAAGATAGTAAAGCTTGCTCACTATACTCTGATTGCTATTACTATTTTGTACTTTCCATGGCGATTTGCATCTACTGTTGTAGTCCATGTCGTTGGTGGCACACCATTTGGAGAGTCGACCGGCACCCCCTTGAGCCAACCTGAGAAGCGGCCCAGGTGGCGCGCTGCCCGGACGAAAGCTGCACGATCTACACTTTAGATGGTTGGGGTCTTGGGGGCACCTTTGACAACCAAGGACCGGAAGCTGGAGTCCTTCCAGGTAGAAGAGGGATTTGTCGGGGTGATCGTGTTGACCTGAACAAGATCTTTGAAGATCTTGCCAGCTGGATGGACATGGGGCAAGCATGGGCCAAGGGGAATTGAAACCAAAGTGCCTGCCCCCTATGTCCAAATTCTGCCAGGAGTTGCCACATAGAGGTGGCAGATGATTGGAACCACCGACCACCACGCCCAAGGTGCTGGGATGCAGAAGATCCATCCGAAGCTCTTGGAGTCCTGTCGCCCAGAGGGCCGGGTGTGGGGGCAGGGGTGGGAAGAGGCTTTGGCGCGAGCTGTGCACCTGGGTTGCCAATGTGTCAGCGTGTCCAGAACACACCACGGTGGTGTGTTCTGGGGTCTGAGGGGACATGCAGAGAACAAACTGTGGAATCTCCAAGCACTTATAGAAAGCACTACCTTGCAGAAGCTTAAGATCTTAAGTTAAGCTGACATCGGTAATTATTCGGGTGCAGTGCATACCAAAAACATCTTACCAGGTTACCATCAACGGCCACAACCTTGCGTGACCCTCAAACTTGGAAACAAGCCTGGCCATTCCTTCCACACTCCCACCCTCTCCATTCTTTGCCAACACTCTCTCCAAGGGCCCTGCGCGATCTCATCGCAGAGGAACGCTTTTTTTGGGGCCAAGGGACTGGGAGTCGGATGGGCGACGATCGCTCAGAGCCTCAAGCAGGGTTGACGACTGCTGGCTTTCACATGATTAGGCGCTGGGCCGGCTTCGTCCGGTGCCAGGACAATGCACTGCGCACGCGGCGCCTGCAGAAGGATCCCCTGATCCAGGTGGGGTGGCAAAGGTTTGCGCAATGTCCTGAGAACTTGGGTCAGAGTTGTTCTCTGGATCTTGAAACCGAGACACAAAGGCAGTTTGTAGGCAGCATCGAGAAGGAGATGGAAAGAATGACAACGTCGACTTTCTCCTGCTGACGTGGTGCAAGATTCGTGCCAAGCAGGTTGAGCATATACAACAATCAAGATAGCTGTTGACCCTTGCCATGCCATCTTACGCCACTAGAGACCTGGTTACAAGCAGACTCAAGCAGATGACATGGTCAGTGCCCTTGGGGCTGGATCCTCGGATTGCGAGACATGGGTTCGCCCAGCTGCCTCCTCTTGTGCAGATGGTGGAGAGGAAGAACTTCCACTTTTGATGATGCGGAGGCCGCGGAGGCCTCGGTGGGGACTTGAAGGTGAACCTGACGGGACTGCTCGAATGACACTCCTTGGAATCATCATGGAAGTGGAAAACCACCGGTTTTGTGGAGGACAATTGTCATCCCAGGGGCCATTCCATCCACTTCCATGATAATTCCATGGAGTGTAGGCAAGAGGTCCGTCTCAATGAGGTCCTAGCTTTCCTTATGGCTATAGTTTAAGATATTTGACTTGACTTGTATTGGACGCTACTAGGGGCTCCTGGCACTACTAGGAACAAGAAGCTACGAGCAAAGGGCATCGCTACGAACGAAGCATGATGCTACTGTGACCCAGCGGCTCTGGCAATTTCCTTCGTCAATGGAGTGGCGCGCAACAAACCAACGGTGAACTGTGCAAATTTCATCCAATATACTCTCACTCTCACATCCACCGCCACTTCATTTATACCGTACCTTTTTTATGTTCTGATACATAACTACAGATATTTTTATTATTCGTTGCCTTCACGAAAAATAAGTAGAATGAGAAAAATACAGGTTGAACATAGCTCCAGGAAATCTTAACATCCATTATGTAATATAAATCCGATGAAGCAAGAAAGATCACGTTAGAAACAACGCGCAAACCCCAAACAATGAACCCCAACCAACCAAAGGGAAAGAAAGGGCTTGCAAAGTCTAACCGGTGCCGACTCGCATGTCACTCTGTTGGTTGGTAGACGCACCATCCTCAGGTGGCTTGCAACTCACTCCATGTTCCAGTGCTTGGGTTTTATGTCCCATGTGCACACGAGGGTGTTTCTGGGGGGGCACTTCTGTAGTGCTTGAGGCTAAGATTTCTGACCAGACTGGTAGAGCAACTGAGGCGACAAGACGATCACCCGAGTGGCCCTCAGAAGCATTGAGATATTTGGGCAGAACAACACCACCTGCACGCCACATGAGCAACATAAGCACGAACTGCAGATCTCCCTGCAAGAAGTCTGACTTGAAGCTGTAGCCGCAGCCGCATCAAGAGATCTGACATAGAGGTTTCTCAAATGTCTAAGGGCAGGTCTGACAGCGGCGATGTTTGACATCGACCTGCGAGCTCCAGACGTCGGCCTCCCTCCTACTTTTCAACTTAGGTGGCCCACAATCTTCAACCACCCATGATCAGGTCAGCTGAAGACGTTTCGTCGCGAAGGCCTCAGATCACCACCCCGTGGGCCGTCAATCCTTCAGGCGATCCACAGCGAGATTCAGGGTACCTCGCACTGGGCACCTAGCTGGTTGGGAGGGTCTGTGAAGCTGGGAGCCAGATGACTTCAGAGTCAGGGTGTATGCCTGTATGCCTCTACAGGTTGAGTCAAGACCTTCGTTGATGCGAGACGTGGGAAAACTGCAGCTAGTCTAAGAAGCTACCCAAGAAGAACGCAAACCTCGGTTGTTCAGCGATCATTTTCCCGAATCTTCCCGCCACGCCGCGCTGGGAATTTTCCAGGGGTGCTACTCCAAGGGTTGTGAAGAATGGCTTTGTGTTGGGACGTCGTGAGAGGCGTCGTGTGGAGCCCTCGGGGGGGGGGGGATAAAAACAGTTCGATCATCGGATGGAGGTTATGATCACCCTCTCTGGATGGGGAAGGTCCGGGGTGTGGGAGGTGCCGTTCTCACACACGGCTTGCACCCAAGTTCATCGCTCCTTCACCACGCGCGAAGGTCCAACAAGGCCTCAGGTGTCTGGAACAACGACAAAAGAGTGCGCAACATGGGTGGGGGGCTTTCAAGATTTCGACCTACAGTTGGCCCACGTCGGCTCAAGCGCGGCACATCCAGACTGGGCCCTTGCGAGTTGCAAGGGTGCCCAGAGAAAGGAAGTTCATGGAGCTGGCAGTGGGGCTGGCGGCAAGGGGACATGATGCCCCAATGTGTTGCGAGATGGTGGAGCTGAACCAGCGAATTACACCAGCCAAACGTTTGGTTTCTCCCGAGGACCTTGGGTCCCCCCCCTTTGAAGGCCGTTCACTTGCCGCAAAACACCAGAGAGACGAAGGACATGACCCTGACCATGGTCGCTTCCCGCGTCACTTGCCAGTTGGCCATGGTCAGCATTTGCGAAAGAAAAGTCTTGCATTCAGTTATGTTTCTATGTCCGTTCAACCCGGAGCACAAAAGCGCTTCAACGTCAGCCTTCCGCAACTGAAACATGTGAGCTTCTACCATCTTGTGCCCATCCACTCATTTTTGGTCGACCCATGTCTGGACCAACCGCCCGTGCCGAGGGCTGTTTGCCGCAGCAAGGGGCCCTCTCCGTCTGGTTTGGGGAGTTGGTAGGTGTGGGACAGGTCAAGCCATGGTGACTTGTCAGGACGAGCCTGGAAGAATATAATCATATGTCTTTCCAGAGCCCAGATTTGCGTGGAATTCACGTGGCTTCGCCTATGTACTTTCTAGCCCTCCAGGCCTCAAAACTATGGTTTTCAAAGGCAGGTTGATTAGTATGTAACTGTTTGTGCTGGGAAACCCTCAAAATGAGGGCCGTGCCTGTTGTCCTTTCCTCGTTCGTCCCCCTGCCTTTCCGGTTCGTCATGTCAGGGGAACATTTCAATTGCTTGTGCGCAAGGCGCGGTGTATGATCTCCCGGGAGTGTAGTGCATGCTGGTGCCACTTGTAGAATTTGCAAGGGCCCGACAGGCTCGATCTAGATGGAAGCGAGCCAAAGATGGAACCTAGCACGTTAGACCCCTCATCCTGACAACCACGATGCAGGTCAAAACTGAAGTCTCATGGAGGCAGGGATGAAGAAGCTGCAGTTGCTCATTTGATGGAGTCAAGCTTGTCCTCTCGTAGAGTTAGAGTGCGGCCAAAAAGAATGTGGCAGAGCAAACCGTAGAACATCGTTTCGTCTCGTTTCTGGCTGGTTTCGTTTTCAGATGCTTCTTTTGGTGACAGGTTTGTTCACTGAAGTTTTGGCATGTTTGTTTGTTTGTTTGTCTTTATGCATCGCTCGAACATTACAGTAGTATCCCGTTAGTAGGAAGGGATCTGGGATCATAGTTTGATCTAAGAGCGCCATTGGCGTTGGTTCGGACGCCACCTTCGGACGCGTCCTGTTTCCTTGGCGGAGTTTGAAGGAGCTGATAGGTCCCCATGGTTGGAAGGAGCTGGGCCAAAGGAGGCCTCATTCTTGGAGAGACGGAGGTTTCACTGCAAGATTTCGACGGGGGCTGCTTGACTTGAATGGCAATCCCTTGATCTGCGAGCCATTTCAGCGCTCCCTGTGACCTCACCGGCTGGGTTTGTTGGGGCCCACGTTGGGCTGGTTCTTGTGGGGAGGTGACGCTGCTGGCCGAAGAGAACCTCCCCGAGGGGTGTCTCCTGTCAATCCGCTCAGGCGGGCAGGGCGTGGCATGGGGGATGAAAGGCCCCCCTAAAAAGTCCAATGTCTGGTAGTGTATTACACTCGCCTTCAGCGTCCTCAGGACCTCTATAGAACTGTCGACAGTTCTATGCAGAGTGTTGGTGATGAATTCTCTTCACGGGGTTGTTGCGAATCCCCTCTCTCCCTCTCTCTCTCTCTCTCTCTCCCCCTCTCTCTAAAACACTTGGAAGAATGTGTGAGGTTCGGGCTGTCAGCAGTCAGCACTTGCTGAAGGGTTGCTTGACACTCCCCAGGCAAGGGTTACACCGGGGACTTCTCGACTAACCATGACTAACCCCACAGTGCTTGCACAAAGTCCCTTGCATTAAGTTTTGAGCAGGTGGTGTGAAGGATTAACCAAGATAAGAATCAGATATCCAAATTTTCTATGCAAGATGTGGCTCGAGTTCCTTATTTTCAACCCACCGGATTCCAGCCCAAGACCAGCCATTGCTACTTCACCAGCCATTGCCTCCTTGTCCACTGGGTAGCCACTGGCGTAGCTCCCCGGAGGCGACACCGGTCGCTCTCCGCCTGTGGAGGCTCTACACGGCGACAGGCGGCTGTGGACTCCAAGTTCAAGCTCTTCTTCCCCAAGGGAGGCAAGCCTGGAGAAGATGTCAAGGCCGGCCCCGAGGGCAGGAAGGGATGTACCGGGTTTGGGGTGCCACACCTGAGCGGAAGGGGTGAGCTTTTTGGACCATGCACAGAGGTGGAGGTGGTCGTTGATTGGAGCAACTTGTCACTGGCTGAAGCTTCAGAGGCCCTCAGATGCAACGTTCTCTCCATGAAAAGACTGGGGCATGACTATGCACGACTCACAATAGGGACCCATACCCGCAACCACAACGCAAGTATCTGTTCGTGGGTCTGAGTCGGGCGCCGGCGCTGCCCGGATGCAGCCTTTGGTCCGGACCAGGTGGACGCCTTGCTGCCTGTGGGGACACATGTGTGCCATGTCTCAGAAGGTTCAAGTGTCCTTTTTTTTTCCAAGGGGATGGGAATGGTGAATGGACACCAAAAGAGTTGAATGTGGGTTGTTGTTTGGACCTCTTGATGTATTGAGGGGGGCTGGGCGCATATGGATATATACCTTCTTCCCACCTGCCATTGAAGTGTCCATGCTTCTAGGTGCCACTCAAGCCATGCTCGTCGTGTTTTGAGCACCGGGCATGCCCTCCCTGTGCTCAATATGCACCGTCCCTGTTTTACCTGGGGCTCCATGACTAGGAAGTTCTCAACGAAAGCTCCGCAAAAATAGTTTCTCGTTTTGGGCCCGAGCGGCAGTGAAGAAACAGTGCTTGGCCGAAGCTGAGGTTGCAGCTGAAGGAGGGGCAGCAGCAATACGACATGGACATGGGTGGAATGAAGGCAGCTGGGATGAGGGTGGTGAATGCCAAGCTTACAGACTCACAGGCTGTCGAAGCTGAGTTTTGTTGGACTTCGGAGCTTTGAAGTCAGTAACCATGGTGAGTCGAACAGATTCTTGGGAGACTTGATCCATGTTGGCATTTGCTTCAAGAATGGATGGCGCTCAACCCCGCTTTGGGTGAAATGAAGAAACTACCAGCTATCAGCTATCGGTGCTGGTTCATGCTGCTGGTGAAGCGACATCTTCGCGGCTTCTTTCATCTTACGCCAGGTTTCCCTGCACTTGAAGGAGGTGGAGCAGGCCCTAGACCAGGCCGGGCCCCTCCACACCGACACCGAGCGCCCGCACGTGTGGAGCTGATTCGAGCTTGGCGCCAGGATGGTGACCCCAAGGAGACGGATGCTTCGGTCCGGGACTGGGAAGGAGACGTTTTCCATGCACAGAAGGCGAAAGCCATATGTGATCGAGTTGTTTTCGTTGGGGTGAGGAACCTGGTGTATAGGTGGACCTGGCACACATCCAGACATTGAGCGGGCTTTACAAGTAAAGGGTGCCAGAAACATTGCACTTCAGTACCTGACGCGACAAATCTTTTGGCTGCAAGTCGTGCAAGATATCAATATACTTATATCTACCATGTTCTTCCTTTTTCCCGCAGCGACAACAGAACCCCTGGTTCAGTGGTTCATTTTTGATGTCTGACTGATTGGATGGTTGCAGCCGAACGAGGCCAGCCATCGTCATCGAGTGGCGACCTGCCTGGAGAAGGGACGTGGGCGGTTCTGGGATGTATTGGTCCTGGCGTGGAGTGGCAGCAGTTAGTAGATCTTCGATGCCTTCAGAAGGTATGAAACACTCCACCTGGTAGGGAAAACTCGTTTGCAAAGTGCTGGGCCGGCTGTTGACATAGATGGCTGGCTGGGTGGAGGAAGCGTCCAGCGTCCGCTGCGTCCACTCATGGTTCGAGCCGCATTGATTGTATGTATATATATATATACACATGTCACATACTTATATAATATGAACACAAAGCAAGAAGTATACTTGCCAACCTGGCTGAACCGCAATCAGATCCCCTGAAGTCCTAGTATGACATGCAGTTTTACGGCCTAGCCAGCCTTCCGCTGAGAGCTCTTTGTGTGCCACCGGTGCGGCTGTTCGGCACGACGGCCATGTTGGACATCGCTTTGATCCTGGGGGCGGTGGTTCTGTGGCACCAGTATGCGCATGGCAAGGAGCCATGGCAAAGTTCAATCGCTGACCAGTTGTCATGTTCCTGGTTTCCTTCAGAGTCAAACGCCAGCTGTGGGGGTATGAAACAGCCTTCGCGTTTCCTTCTGCGCCATGGGCCTCAGGACGTTTGGGCTGCCCTGGCCGCCCTCCTCGGTCGCGCGGGCGGTCGGGTGAGCGTGAATGCCGCAGGTGGAGCGGCAGCTGCTTCTGGGAAGGAGTGTCTGTACCCAGGTGGAAGAGCATGGGTAAGAACATCCAGGTTGATGTGTAAGAACGTCCAGGTCTCGCAAGTCTGGGATGGTGTTTTTTTCTCCAAAGGAGTTACATCACGCTTGAGCTACCTGAGTTCTCCTTGCTTTGGCAAAAATGTATTACAATCAGGAGTTGGGATTGTGCATTGAGTTTGGTCCTGTAAGAGTTGATTCTGTTCGGCCCCCCCCCCCCTGGATCAAATCCCCCCTGCGCCGGTTCACGCCGTCATGGACTTCTACCAGGGTTGCTTGTGATTGCCTGCTACCTTTCGTTCACCCCCTCCTCTCTCAAGTATTCATATTTTTTTTTGTTATTTAGGGTTTTGTCCTGATTTCCACCGATCTTTTGCCCGCGGTCGGCACTCGGACCGAGCAGGTGGCGGCCAATGAAAACGGCAGAAGCAAGAAGCTAGACATGGATTCTGAGAGACCTCAACCCCCAAAAACTCCAAACACATTCAACTTGTATTTGTGTAGCCATATTACCTCCACTTGGATGTTGCCAGGACTCCGCGGCGCGTGCCAGCATGAAGAAGCAGCTGGATAACCTGCGAATGTTGAATCTGGGTATTTGTGCCAGAATGGGAGTGCATACCCAACTCGCCTCCCAGCAGCGATTGGTCGTCGTGTTTTTTGATGGTTTTTGGGCACGGTTACCGTTTGGGTGACGATTCAGTTTGGTCAAATGCATTGAATGATCACCCTCCGACTCAGCAACATGGAAGTCGTGGAAAAGGGGCCCCTTGGATGCTGACACTTTTCCCGTACGAACAGCTCAGGGTGGTTGTGTACTTCCATGTTAGTGAGTCGCAGTGTAATCAGACAGCACGGAATGGCATCATGAACGGAGGGCAACAAGATTCTGCTGCTTCAGAGCATTGAGGCTTCGATCACTTAGTTTTTGGACTCAACATATGGTTGTTGATCCTGCATTCTTTGCTATTTTTATAGGCCTATTGTTCTCCAAAGCTCTTCAGGTTCTCATGATCTATGCAGCCAAGAAGATAGCAGAAGGCCATGATGATGCCTATTCCGACGTCCTTTTCCGTGCTTGCCTCTATGTTGCTGATCTTGATTCGGACTTCCCAAACAGGACCATGAATGGATCGACGAATGGACGATTTGCTTGGGATGTAGGTGGGATATCTGGATGTGGTTGCAGTTGAGAGGATAAAAGAAGCACATGGATCTCACTTGGTTCATGTTTCAGAGGCGGGCCCTTTGGTGCCAACGACATGTCGCGTTCAGCGACATGGAGGAGGTGCTACACATCACATTGGGTTTTTCAACCATCAACCAGTCATTAATCCCTTCTTACAAACCGTTCATCCATTTCATCATGATTCTGGCCAGTCTTTCACAGGTGCCGAGCAGGAGAAGAAGAAACACATATGTGGAAGGCCTTCCCACCGATCGCTTGAGCCGACGTGTCCCACACCCGTTTCCCGTTTCGGCTGTGGAAGTGCCATTGGACCTGGGAACTCAGGTTTGTTTCAGCTTGGCCAGTTTCATCTCCAAGCGGAACATGACGTACACAATCAGAACCTGGGCAGGAAGTCTAGGGCCCTCGGCATCCAACTAAGAATGTCCAAGAATTCTAGATCGAGGATAGAGTACAGCCACTTCTTCAGTGGGGTGAGATGAAATTCGCATCTTCAGTGGTTCCAGCCTCGCTGTGTTTTCCTCCGGGCTCTGCCGCAGCCTGCCATGAGGGCCCCTTTGTTTGTGCTTCTACCTGGCATTGCTGGGGAAGATGTGGGCCTGCTTTGACATGGCGCACTACCAGATCAACCAAGCCTATGTGGTGGGGAAGACCTGTTTGATGGCCGCCCTCTTCGTGGACATGTGGGTGGCGATCCCGCTCGGGCCGCTAGGGCGTTGGTGAGGTGGTGAGGTGTTGGAGAACGAACCGATTCCGCTACACTCTTGCTGGTGACCAGCGTTGTGAAGGGAAGTTGTTCATCCTCCTTTTACCATAGCAGATGGGGTCCTGGGGTTTTCATCACAGTTCCTCAACTCCCATGTTTTGTTCTGTACCATAGAGGGTTTTTATCTTGAGAATTCTTGGGATTGACCTCTCATGGTGAGGAGTGTGAACTCGAGAAAAACGGGGATGGGGCAAAGTGACGTGACCAAACTCTTTTTTCCGCTGAGTTCACATGGACTGCGGCTGAACCACGGGTTCTGGCGGATCCTTTTCAGACTCGCCCCATCCCCACCATCTCAAGCGCAGCTGTGCAAAACTGAGGTTCATTGTCGCTGCAATGGACTGTCGAGTCTTCATCACAGTGGGCGGGCTTTTGGAGGAGAACGAAGTCTTCAGCCGCTTGACGTGCCTTGGAAGACTGAAACAATGGCCCGCTGGCCCTAGTGGGAGGGCAGTGCTTGTTTGGGGAGTGCGTCGGGGTAATTCATCAAAACGATCTGCTTGGGAGGGAGGGGCATGGGTTCGGATGGGTGCTCAGACAACATGCAGTAAGATCAGACCTTCGATTTCGTTTTGTGGGCATGTGTTCCGGGTCCCTGTTTCCAGTCTGGGAAGCCTGTCGTTTGCCAGCCTTGCTTGCTCCCTTCATGCACGGGACCGCGGGACTGTGGGAAGCTCTGCAAGGATCCTCATCCTCTACATCCTCATCCCGACAGTGGCAGAGATGACAGCGCGTCGATTCATCCAAGGTGGGAGGGGCTTCGCTGGACGTCACCGACAGTCTGCTTATCTAGGGCTGTCCAATGGTCACGGTGGTCTGTGTTCTCGGAGTGCCTTCCTATTTGTGTCCGCGGGTCCACGCGCGCCTGGACGAAGGCCTCTTGGATGCGAATTTGATGGTCGCGGGCTTCCGGAGGATGTTGAAAGGCATCAGCGATGGCGACTTCCTCACAGCACCTCGGCGCTCAGCACCGACCACGGAGCTTTTGGGCGCCTGCGGGAGTGAGAGAGCAGGTGAGGAAGCAGGTCCACAGATCTACTGTATATATACAGTACGTATCATATCTTTTTATATTTACTTTTTATGTATGTTGGTACCCGCAACGTGGCCAAACACAGGGATGACTTCGCCTGCGTTTCGGCGGCTATCAACCACCCGACCTAGGTTCTGACGGAAAGGATTTGTTTTTTTCTGCTCCATTTCGATCTGTATTTTGTTGACGTACTCAGCCTTCATGCCCCGCCTCACCGGGGACGTTCGAACGAGTCTCTCTCCGCCGTGCTCGCCGTCCTCCGAGGATGGTGACTTCCGGATCCACAGCGAGGCCAAGTGCCTGGAGAACCTCTTGGCTTCCAAGGCCGGGAGGATGGGACAATCCCAGCGGCCAGTGGCGGCCAGTGACCAAAATGTACTGAGATTTGTGACCCAAATGTCCATTTCATTCCATTTCCATTGAGGATGTCGACATCGGCTGGCTTCTTTCCAGTGCACTTCTCTAGCAGGACTTCACTGGAAAGTCCTTCCTCTCCCTTCTCTGGGACGACAAGGACGCGGTGAGTCACCGCCGGCTCGCCGCCGTTCCCGACGCTTTCCCGACGCTTCGGCTTTGGCTGCGGAGGGAATGCATTGCGCTTGGTGCCTGAGATCGGCCTTGAGCTAAACACCCCGTGTGAGGGGCACCGAACGTTAGACCGAGCTGCCTGGTTTGGTGCAATGGTGCGGGGCCGTGATGTGCAAGCACCTGTGAGTGATGCGAGTTTGCATACTTTTATAATCTTCTATACTTGGGGCCCTGCTGACAGGAGCGGGAGGATTTCAAGCAGTTCGTCGAGGCATCCACGGATTGTCCCTCGGCCGTTGAGGTCGGCTTGGATGTTGCAGACCTGCCAGGACTTCCAAAGGGCCGAAGCGAGTAGTTGTTGTACCGTTTCCACCAACAATCGTTCGGGAGTTGCTGAACAGACATCTAAACTGCCTAAACTTCTCTAGATTTCTGGTTGGCATCAGGCCTAAAAAGCGAGAAGTTCCCAGTACCCTGGTTGGGCCTAAACTGACTAATTATGACATACGTCCTAGCATCTGAAAACCCTTAGCCGCTACGACCCACCTTCCACTTCTCAAACCTGGCTGGCACCGAGCTGGGGAGCACGCCCCGAGCACCAACCGCACCGCGCGGGCACGTCCCGAGGCGAGGACGACAGTGCACCAGCATGCCTCCGGCTCCACGTGCGCCGGAAGGGGTCGGCGATCGGCTTGGATGCGTGTGACTGGGCGAGACATGGCGCTGGGTGGGTGGGGGAAATTGTCCCAACGACTCCGCGCTCAAGGTGGTGGGGGTTCAAGAAGGCCGTGCAGTTCCGTGCCCCAGTGTCTTTGGTCAGGTCACGTGCGCGTGCCCGACTTGTTCGGCGCGGTGGAGCCGTATCACTTGATCGCCTTCAAGCAGGACCCGGAGCAAAGCGCGGAGGCCGAGGCGGAAGAGGCGGATCCTTGCATTTTCATTGGGGTCGTGGGGCTGGGAGGAGGGAAGGGAAGGTTTTTTTTGGGGGAGTTCCTGTTGTTCTTTGGAAGGTGTCGAGGTGATGGTGAACGAGTTGCTCGGGACCAAATGGCACCGGAAGGCTTTGGGAAGGCTTGTTCGTGATCAAATGCCTGATCAAAAGGCTGCTCTCTTTGAACGCGGCTGGACTTTGCTGGGGCTGGGGTGGGCTTTCTCGCGTGCTCAGGGGGCAGCAGGTGGTCACAGTAGTTGTCAGTAGTCACGTACTGAGAACTCGTAGAGTTGGTTCCCTGGTTTTTCTTGCTATCGTTGGGCTATGTGCTCAAGAGGCTTGGAGGCCAAATCCCCGGTGACTCTGAGGAACCGCCACCAGTGCCAGTGCCCACACCGCTCATGGATGACTCGACCGCCAGCTTGAGTGAGTCCTCGCTATGTAGCTGCCGTGCCGCGGATGGTGGTGAAGTGGAGGGCGGATGATGGCGATGTCCCCAAAACCACTCCTTGGGGTGCTGGAACTCGGGTGCTGGGAAGGCTGAGGATGTCGGGTGGATGTGGTCCAAGCTTGTGTACGGCCTTGAAATGTTGTCGTGGATTGAAGGTGCATCTCGACACTGGGGCCAAAGAAGCCGGCTGCCGGCTCTATTCGGTTCCTGGGTGTTGGAGTGAAGGGAAGCATCAAGCATCCGAATTTGGACAGTTGTGAACCAAAAGAGCGGACAACTGACAATGTAATGTATATATATAGGATTTAAGCGCCCCAAATCTGGCTTCGAGGGAGTTCGTCACGTTTGAGACCGCTGAAAAAATGGCGACCGCTGGGCTTACCAGTAATCACTTTGTAATATTGTGATCTCATGGAGTGACTCATGTTACATGGGCTTGCTAGTTAGTATATACTGTAGATACTTTGATTGCTCAAGATCAGAGGACCAGTAGTAGTTACTTTGTTACATGCGTTGCACAGGAAAAGGTCCTACGAATCGAACTTGCTTCCGGATTCGGTGGCTGAGCCAAACTTCTCTGAGAAATGGCCCCACTTCTCGAGGTATGGTGGACTCACTGAAGGGGCTTTGTGAAGCTTGGATCTGGAGAAGATGAAGCTTCAAAAGGGATGGTATGCAGTTGTGTGGGACAAAGTTGAACAATGTGAAAGCAGGGCATGCTTGGATTGAACACAGAAGCCACAATTTCATTCAGGTTAGCTGGGTTTGGAGTTGTGGTGCGAGGGCTCTTAGATGATCAGCCGCAGACACCTTCATGTGTCAGGGAGAATGTTGTACCACAAGTTGTAGGGCCTCCGATAACTGGTTATGCCTCCGATCTTCACCGGCCGCAGGCAGAAAGGACGAAAACGGTCCAGGATTAAACATTTTTGAGGCTTCCGAAGTGGCAGGGGAGCCTCAACTGTGGCATTTTGGCCAAGATCCCATGAGTTCCACCCCTGCCAAGTCTCGAGAATCGATCCAAAAACCACGAAAGACGTACCCGTTAGGAGATGACCTTCCTGTTGGATGGGAACTCAGAGCACTTTGATCTTTTAGAGGCCGGCAGTGCCCGTGGTTTTGGCCGCCCGTCGGTGGTTAAGTGGTTTTTCATCCATTTTTTCTTGTAACGGTTTCCTCACCTCCTGGTTTGGCTTAGCACCCTTGGGCACTTATTTGTGCCTACCAGCCTGTATAGCAGCATAGTCAGAGTCAACTCCAGTGAACGTGGATTGTGGTGTCACAATTTTCAATTGAGGCAGAACTAGCTGGTGTCTAGCTGCTAGACTCTGCAGAGAAAGAGAGAGAGAGATCTTCAGATCCCAGAGGATGCTTTCCAAGACTGAGACTCATATCAACAAGAACATGGAACGAGAGGTGGCAAGCGCATATTTTTGTTCGGACCCATAGTGCCGCCTCGTCGCGCGCATGGGCGATAATGCTTCACGGTCGTTCTTGGGCCGTGGCACTTCAGCGGACTCACAGTGAGAGTTCTTCCCATGGATGGCCTTGAGCCAACCTGCTTGGTTCATGAAAAGGTTGGATCCCTGCCCTGACCAATAGGACTACTACCTCCAGGTTCCCCCAGGTCGGACCCGGGTTTCTCCCCGGGGGCTCTGGAGCCTGGGAGTCCGACGGAGCGCAGAAAGACCAAGAGCCACCCTGAAATCATCATGGAAGTGGACAAACCATGAAAAACCACCTGTTTGTAGAGGAAAATGGGTTTGGACATGGTTCTCTTTGGCACGAAGCATGATTCTTCCAGGGAGTGTCAGCCTCCAAACGAACGCGACGCAATGCCCAGTGGAGGTGGAGGTGGATTTGAGGTGGATGAGGTGCCTCCCCACGGGCCTCCATCGCCGCGGAGGCCCACTTGAGATTTGCTCGGACCGCGGAGGATGCTTCGGGCATGCCGCACTTGAGGAAGTTTGCGAGGCCCACGGATTGGGGCTGGATCAGCGAGGAAGCTCAACTGGAAAAAGGGGGCAGGGGAAGCCTTCAGGGCAGAACATCACCCCTGATATGTTCTTCGTTCTTCTTCCTTTGTTCTTTTGCTTAACTTGAAAGGAAGTCATGGCCACTTCATAGCCAGGGTCAGGGTTTGTCCCTTTGATTGACCATGCTTGGCCTTGACACTCACTCGGCCATGAAGCAGGTGTTGTTCATTGAATACCACGGAGCCCACCTGAAATTCAACCTTTGCCCACCAGATCTGATGACACCATTCTTTGCAGGGCTTTCTTTGTATCGGAGTCTTGGCTTCATCTTCCCCCCTTCAGACACCAAGGAGCTCACCGACTACATCTGGACCTGCTACTCCGAGCGCTGTGTGCCACCACCAGCGGTCTTGCAGCCGATGTACTTTCGGGTGCCCGGCGCTGAGGCCGAGAGGTGCGGGATTGCAGGGTCCGACGCACGGAGGGAGTGGGGAGGGAGTGCAGGCGCAGGACTTCCGAACCTGGCGAAAATAACATGAGCCGGATTGCTGATGGATGGGTCGGATGAAGGTTTTTTTCTCAGAAAACATCTGGAGCTCGGCCAGGTACTTGTTCGCGCGGAACGTGGAGCTTCAGCTTGCGTCTCCCCTCTTCGTGCATCGCGCGGCGCGCGTCCCAGACGGGACAGATGAGAAATCTGAGGCAGCGCCCTTGCGCTTTTACTTGCACATGACAGACTTTGCACCCAACCGGCGCCAAGTGCCGAACCTGGGGCTAATTAGTGAAAATGTGTCTGAAGACCTCTCAGGAGAGTCTGACAAATCGGACTGATCTGACGAATCGGTGGTTGTGGTTTTAAGGAGCGTCAGATCTTTTCACCCAGGCCCGAAGGGCAGAAACAGGCGGTTCTATCTGCACTGGGCAATGTCCCACAGGGCCAGTTACAGGAAAAGGAGGCGTGCTGAGGTTATGCAAGTTGGCTTTCAAGTCCATTCCTACCGCTGCAGTGCCAATCTCTTGAATGCCTTGGCTGATTGACCTCGGTCCCTCTTTGATCATCTTCGCTGAACAGGTTTTCCACTTGTTCCAGACATGTGGCTCCAGCCGTCTCAGGCCATCTCGGCGAGGAAGTATTTGGATGAGCATCAGTTGCTGGGCTGGGCTCATAGGCGGGGCGGGCTGGGTCGCTGGGTCGGGCTGGATCGCTTAGGATCCGGAGTTGGAGGGCACAACAGATGCAATAGATGTAGATGAGATGTGTCACGCATAAGAAATACATCCCTCTTTTCATGACAACATGCCCAGGCACTTGAATCCTAAAGGGCTCTGGCATGATCTCCCGAACTGTGGTATGCTGTCCATCAACAGCGCAGCTTGAGCTTTGGTTTCTACCAGCTGTCATTAAGTCAGCACAGAATGCAACGGATCCACTCAGGTGTCCATTGTACACTCAGGTGTGTTGATCCTCCATTCCAAATGGTCCAAGCAGTCAACCGTCTTGCATTCTCTCTCTCTCTCTCTGCTTGAATTCAATCGGCGTCCTGGACTGTTATTTTGGCTCTCTTTGTTTCCCAGCATGAGCATTGAAATTAGGGTCCTAAAGGAGGCGTATGGCATGGTATACAGTTGCAACGCCCATGGCACAATCTTGGGGATCCAGGGCAGCCATGTCACACCATGAGCCGACCGCTTTTGCCCTGCATATGCCCTGCAGACACCCCAAAAGGAGATTGAAGACTCCATCTCAAGTAGGCCACTGATCCAGTAGGTCTCCTGGGCCGCTATTGTGTCCTCCCAGCCACTCTCTGCTTCATGATCGGCATCCCGATCATCTCATCCCCAATCTTTCAAAAACAATACGTGACCTTGCATGGTGCTTTGGTCAACTCAACTGGATGCGCCATGGCCTTACGTCTCCATGTGGCGCTCGTGAGTGGCAAGGAGGCTGGAATCGGACCAGAAGCAGCTTCGGGGTCGTGTTGCCCAAGTCCTCAGTGTGTCATGCCCAGGAATATGTTCCAGCTTCAGTCACTTAGGTCCTATACGGACCCCATTTTAACATTCCCTTCCAGTCCAAGGAGTGAATCCCGGGGTCGTGCGACGGGAGTTGCCAGGTGTCACTGGAGGCTTCGCCTGAGTGGACGCTGGGGCAGCTGAAGCGGCGCGCGCAGCAGGCGCTGGGCACGAATGTGGAACTACTGGAGAAACGTGCCGCAGGCGCTGGGCGTAGGGGAGCTGGTGCGCGGATGGAAGGATGAGCACAGACCGAATGCCATGTGTGCTTTTGCGTTCAGGAATGTGGCTAGAGAATTGCTCAAGAAGTAGATCTTTCGCTTATTCTTGAGTCTTTACCTTGAATGATCAGATCTAAGTCCTGCCAAATCCACCAGTCTCCTGCTGCTCAGGCCTGAGAGCCGGGTCCTCATTGGCTGAGATGGGCTTCCAGGACGATGAGGTGCTGAGCGCCGTGGTGCGCAGCCCGAACATCGTGTCCAACAAGTGTAAGATGCAGCGCCAAGGCAGCAGCCGGGTGATGAATCTGAATGTTTTTTTTCCTTAGGAAGGAGGCGAGCTTTTCTGTCGATCAAGACGGTGGGACTGCTTGTTGGGAGGCGATTTTTGTGGCATAATAGAGGCTGTCCCCCACGACCGAGGGTGGTGAAGAGCCCTGCCAGTGCTTTTGCGCTCATCCGCAGTGGCATGGCTCGATGGGCGGGCCCCACGATCGGAATCCGTTCGTTCTTCGTTCGGGAAGACAAAAGACTTCAAGGAAGCGATTTCGGCTTCCGATGCTACACTTTGTCAGCCTGTTTTGGACACTCCCTCAATTGGAAAGTCCACCAACATTGGGGGCTGATTCGACGATTGCTGAACAGCGGCTGAGCGAGAGCTCAAACCAACACATCCAGCACCCACACACACTCACATCCAAACACACGTCGAACCCACCGTTCACGAAGAACAACACTCATTTTTTTAAAGGAACTTTACAGATTTTTCCTCTGGCTATGGAGTTCTCTCTGTCTCTCTCTGTCTCTCTCTCTCTCTCTCTCCGCCTTGCATCCGATCTGCTCTTCCAAGTTAACTGCCTTGGCCAAGGCGACGGCTCCGTGGTGACGTGGGGTGGTCTGGGCGTTCCGGTGCCCGAGGGGCTGGCCGAGGTGCAGGAGATGGCCGCGACGAGGGCGGCCTTCGCAGCTTTAAGCCGTTCGGTGTGAGACAGCGGGCTTTTCAATGAGTTTGCCTCAAGGATGAGAGCCACCACACAGGGACCAGAGGATTTCGAGGTTGCTTGTGTGACCATATCCATAGACACGAGACAACAGAAAAACAAGTTTGCTGGGCTTGAGTGTCTTTTTGAGCTTCCATCATTTCCCTCACGGTGAGCACGACCTCTGCCGAGAGGCACTTTTTGGGAGATGTGAGATATCCTTGGAACCATCATCTTTGTACTATAATATGTTTCGCATGATTGGGATGCAACCAGCCAACCATCCTGTATCACCCCACAGGGCGTATTTGGGACTTGGCTTGGCGCGACCCAACCGATGCACCGCAGTCGGGCTCGGACCTCCACCGGCCCCGTGCCAAACGGTGCGCCATGGCGGGAAGGCCTGGCTTGGACACCAAGGATGCGATCGAAAACTACCGGGCGACCATCCACATGGAGACCATGCGATTGAAAAAAGGGGCTTCAAACTGGCAGCTTGTTGTGCCCAGTGATGCAGCGTTGTTGTTCCCTTTTTCTCCGGGCGGCTTCCAGAATTTTGTTCTTGAGAACTTAAGGCACACCAATCTTATCACACACAATCACTTACGTAATGTGTATTTGCCCTCCTCCAGGAACTGTGGCCATGCACAAGTCTCCATTCTGGAGGCTCACGTAGTAACTAGTGATCTGCGCACACAATGACCGGTGTTGTTTCCTTCACCTGGCCGAGCTGCAAATAGTTCTTTTGCGGGAACGAAGACACCGCTCCGCGCATTCCGAAACGGCGCAGGAGAACAAGCTGCAGCGCGAATGGGTGGAGCGCTGGGGCTTCTTCAAGGCACCCCAGCGCCGCTTTCGCTCCGAGATGCGGAAGGAGAAGCTAGCGAAGAGTGCGAGCGCGCCGGTGCTGGCGGCCGCCGGCCAGGAGGCCCTGGCGTGGAGAGAGAGAAGATTGATATATAGAGATGATAATGATGATAGAGATTGACCATTTCAGCCTTCCAAAGTAAGATCGGTGAGATTGAACCGAACACATTGCATTTGGATGCATTTTGGGATTGCGGGAGTCATTCTTGACAATTGGGAGGTGAAGGGTTGCGTGACAGCTCCGCTTGTTTTCACACAACTGCAAGGGCTTTGGAATTCGGCAGCCGAATCAACTTAATGTCAAGTTATGGACCAGAAGTGGACAGGAAGGCAACATTTGTGAGTCCCGATCCAAGACCCACAGATAAAGACGGACCAGTGTTTTTAGATTTAGATGCGACAAGAACATGTCAACCGCACACAACAGACCTATATTATTTACACACCCGACCATATGCATACAAGAAGCAACATGATACACCTGTTTTCCTCCTGAATTCGTTGGGCAGGTCTTGACTGAATCCACCACCAAGAGCAGCTGGCCTCCACCGGCGCCGGTGGAAACCATCGACTTCATCAATGATCGACAACGGCTGATGCATCGGAAGCGGCTGCTTCCCCAGCAGCGCTATGCTAAACCCAACTGCACCAGCCACCAATATGGTTGGAAGCCAACCATTGAGAGGTGGGGAAGACAGAAGATCTGACAAAGTGGCGTGTTGAGGTCCAGAGCCGAAAAGACCAGGAATGGCAGTCAATCAGCAATCAGGGATCAGCAACCTATTTGAGTGATGTCGACTGGAACCAGCCAGATGTTGAACTTCCAAGGAAAAACCCACAGACCGCTAAACATCAACGACTTGATTCGCCGATTTCTGAAGCCACTGTGATGGAAAGGGGGGCTGGGGGGGTTTTGTGGTGGGCAAGGTGGGCATGATTGATGTGCAAAGCAACTTTGATAAAGTTGAGCCCACTTTTGTATACAGATAACTTCAAGTAAACTGCCCCAGTCCAGTTCTTTTTGGCCATCAGGGAAGCCGAACACATTCCCGAGGAAGATGGGCAACATGTCCACTCCCAGGATTGCCCGTCATCTGCACAGGTGGGGTGTGGCTCAGCACGGTGTCCGGAAGCTTGAAGAAGGAATGATGCCAGATGACATCAATTGCACGATGATGCACACGCTCTATGCCAAGAAGTGAGACTGCGACTCGAAGCTGACGTCGCGACCTGATTGCCCGAAAGACGCCGGGACAGTCCTTTTCCGAGGTATATATCGTCATTTCTTCCAGTTTCTACCTGCAAGGATTGCATTGGCCATGGGGTTTGTCGTCCCGATTCTTGTGGGTGGGGATGGGAGGGCTGCTCTCCGACGTTGGCGGGCCTCGTTTCACCCCGGCACGAGAATCCTCGCCAAAGGCGGGGGTTGGACCACTGATGGATGTTCGGGGAAAAGACACCGCTGACACGTTGCCGATCAGGAGACCTTCAGTTTGACCAGATACAACATGATACAAACAAACCGTGCTCGTACAGCAAAATAACCATCATCGTGAGCATTTTCCAAGTCCATGATTGCTGGATAGAGCATCGTCGCCTGTTTTGCAGATATTGGGAGTATTTGGGACTTGTGGATTAGCATTTGCTCACCTTGCTCAAGTCTATAGTGACTTCTCTTGGAAGGTGACCTTTGGGACAGAGGTGCACGTTGAGGCTTCGGGCCTTATGGAATGCTGAAATTCTCCTTGACCACACTCAAACCGTGCAAAGAAAGAAAGCCAACACGAGCAGACTCGGGCGGACGTTTGGGATGGCATTTTTGGGGCATCGCTATTTCATCTTAAACTTTTGGTTCCCTGCCAACATAAACACAAGGGGCTTTCCATGTGCCGCGTTGTGGATTTCCTAAGAGATGTTGAGCGATGTGAGTGAGTTCTTACATGACCTCCAGCATGTGCACCAGAGAAAATGCAGCAAGGAGCATGAATGTCGAGTTTCTGGAAGTTCCCTCCCACAATCTGGCGTTTGCTTTGGGTACAAAGTTGCAAACATAGTGCTTAGAACTTAAAAAAACCATCAACAACCATTGCTCATTTGGCCCCTGACAGAGAGCACGTACGCTTGATATGATGTTATTAGTATTCATGTGTATTACCCAGTATGTTGCAATGCTGCAATGCTTCTTTTCCAAACACCATGTACGATATATGTCGCATGTACGTGCTCTCACCGGCCGCCTCCCGCGCCGAGGGGCCGATGGCACCGTGGTGAGCTGGGGAGACCCGGAGGCGCGCTCTGCGTCGCCTAAGTCGCTACGCCCCGGCACGGACATTCACCTGAAAACCACGGGTTTTTGTAGAGGAAGCTAGGCTTCCCAAGGCCCATGTTCAGGTTCCACGTTAATCTTCCTGGGCGTAAGTAGTTGTAGTCACCATGGTCTTTGGCACATGCACGTTCATCTTCCCAGTTTCAAGCCCAAAGGCTACCGGAAAAAGACTCGAAGCATGCATGACCAATTGAACCCTTGGAGTGATTGCCAACAGAAAACGTCAAACCTGATAGATAGATATATATATAATATATATATATATATATATATTCATGATTGTTGTCAAGAGCAAAAGTCCCACCGGGACTACCCCCCCAAGCAATCATGGAAGCAGACGACCTCCCCTTGTAGAGGAACATCGTCTGACCAGGGGGCATGCCATCCACTTCCATATTCACTTCAGGAAGCGTAGATAGCAAATTTGGAATTGGAAGAACTGTATAATATGAAGTACTGACAGAATGACGGAAACTGGCACAAGAGGGCGGTGGTGCGAGGGTGGTGATGTTTGGCGATGCCTTCGCTCGAGGAAGGTGGCTCGGAGTCGGTGCAGCACTTGGTGGAGGTGTCGAGCCTGGTGTCCACGTCTCGAGCCTTGCATCCGAAGGGAGAAGGGCGCTGGTGGATAGAAGCATCCCGGAAGCCGGGAAGGGAAAGCGACCGCTGGAGCGATTCGGAGTGTATTTGTTTTCACGAGGACCTAAGGTCCACACGGGATCGTATGCCCGCCATGAGCGACCTGGCCTGGGGAGATTGGAGGAGGCTTGATGAGTCTGATGGCGATGGGTTCCAGGTGAAAGAGAGCTTATCCTGAGGTGGGGTTGGTTTTGCCACACTCGGTATGTACCCGACTCACTTCCAACACTATGTCGATTGCTGAGCACAGCTGTGTTAGACTTATATTTAAATGGAAAACTTCCTCCCTCCCTCTGACCGTTTGCAAAAACCTGGTTCCAACAATCTTCTCATCAAAAGTTCAGCTCTCCACTTCACCGGTTAGCTCTCTCGCACATTGCTTTGGTTATGTTGCTCTCACACACATATTGCTCCACAGCCTCAGAGTGACCTGGGAGGCTTCCCGCTCAGGTCGGTCAAACCGAGGTCCACCGATGTGGCCCACCTGGCCCGTCGAGGTAGAAGTTTGACAGTTTGACCGGAAAAAAAGACACGGATCGATGTCAACACGCGATCTGTCGATCAGTCGATGCGTGTTTTCCTTTTTCTTTTGGGGTAGTTCCCCAAACAGTTTACTGTTGGAGTTCTATCTTAGAAAAATAGAGTTGGCCACACTCACTGGCCGCGCCCTGAACTCTGTGGCTGGGCTCTGTGTCCAGAGCTTGTCCTCTTCTTGTCCTCTCTGGCTGGGCTCTGTGGCTGGGCTCTGTGTCCAGGCCTTGTCCTCCTCTTGTCCTCTGTGGCTGGGCTCTGTGGCTGGGCTCTGTGTCCAGGCCTTGTCCTCCTCTTGTCCTCTGTGGCGGGGCTCTGTGTCCAGGCCTTGTCCTCCTCTTGGCCGCGCCCCTGAGCTCTGTGGCTGGGCGCTGTGTCCAGGCGATGTCCTCTGTGGCTGGGCCTTGTCCTCTTCTTGTCCTCCTCTTGTCCTTGTCTTGGCCGCGCCCCTGAACTCTGTGGCTGGTCTCTGTGGCCCGGTTTGCTGGAGAGGAGTGTGGCCGAAAAATAGCGATGTCAATGCCGACAAAAATTCATTGGTGAAGCAGTTTGCTCTTGGGGTGAAGGTGGGGCGTACCAAGAAATCAATTTTTGACCATCTTTGGTCTAAGCGAACCGTTTCGAAGCTGTTTGGGGGCTATGCTTGTAATATAGCTTGTTTTGATGTGGCTCACCCGCTAGACAATGCCCCATCCTCTTCCGATCTCTTCAGCCCAGGGGCCTTTGCCGCCATCGTGGGGCCCGACGCTCGAGTGGAGGCCTGGGGCGCTCCCGGCTCGGGCGGCTGCTGCGCGGAGGTGCAGGAGAGATGTGGAACGGCGGGTTGGGTTAGGGCGGAGAGTCAACAGAATAGCTCATGCAGACTGTTGACAAAAGTTTTTTTGCTTTCCAGAACGGTTTTGCATCTCCAATCGTGGGGATTTGTTTGGTGAACAGGGGTTTGTGGAAGTGCCCTCTAAAGACCTTAGTAGGCCTGGCTTTGTTTTAAGAAAAAACTGGGCAATCATTTGAGCAGTAAAAAGCTTTTGAAAGTAATCTTGAGATTTGTGTGGCGACATTTATTGATGTTGACTACTATTCTTGTGATCCCGTAAATGGAAGCATATAACCATGGGTCGGCATTTGTTGAAGATATATCGACTTGTCTTGGGTTTCGTTTCCTGGACCGTTTTGCAAACAAAGATGATTCTTCAGAATATCAATGACGCCATATTTGCTTTTTAAGCGTTGGTCGACACGCCGGCACACACATCACGCAAAGATATGTCCAAAAAATCAGTGCCATACTTTTGAAACCACCTATATATCAGTAGAAAAACCACAGACCTCTTAAATCGGAATCCAGCCAAGCACAGTCCTTCTGAACTCTTCAATTGTAGAAATAAAGACTGTGTTGATGAATGCCGAAACGCCTTGAGTGGAGGACATCCCCAATTGCATTAGCTCGCTGAGGAAGTCTGTCCTGCTCCTTTCCCCCCAGGAGGGGCCAACCGGACACCCAAAAGGCGCGCCCCGTATATCATCCAACATATTCCAACCTATGAGTTGTTTTTCTTCCTTTGGTCCCTTGGTGAGAGCCACTCGCCCGTCCTGAGCTCCCGTTCCGCGGATCGCGCCGTCGCGGACAGGATCAACTGCATCGGGTGACCTTGCTGGCCTCCACGGACGCAGCCTTCGCCGCCCTGACGGAGGCGACGGGGGTGCGACGGGCGCGGGGTGCGGAATGGGCTGAGGAGGTGGGTGGGCAGTATGTGCGAGTTAGGAGGGGGGAAGGACCTTGATAGCAGACCTGTGACATGCACATGGTTTGAGTTTGGCTCCTCACGTGTGAAAACAGGCATTCCGATTGTGATCGGGGCCGCATGGGGCAGAACATGTTTTCCTCCTTGGCATATAGCCATGGGCCAAAACGGGGGGAACTTGATTGATCGATCAAAAGGAACAGAGTGGACTACCAGGGGAGGTCAACCAACCAGAGTTCTTGAGTCCGATCGCGCGACACATCTGCGGTCTGATCATCCCTTGCTCTGTGTGAGCGGAATGACAGACATCGACAAACACCGCGAGTGTATTGTATGCGTTGCGAATTTAACACAAGACAACGACGGATGTCCCCACATCTAAGTGCACGTGGAACAGACAAGTAAAAGACGTGATTTACGATGTCGTGGAGTGAACATTGATGATGAACTTATTGTGGAATTGCATTTGCCGTGATATGACGACCTGCCACGAATAACGTCTGAGTTTGTCTTCGAGTTCAACTCGATTTTTACAGGAAACTCAGGGTGGGTGGGCACTTGCAAGGTAGGCTCACACCGAGGTATACACAGAGGCTATTAGAGTGAAGATACCCAAACCTAAGGCCATAAAGCTAGGACACGCTCTCTTAGGCTAGTCAAGTGATGTAGTTTGCGTACGTGGTGCTTCGTACCCACGCGGAGAGTTTCTGCTTGAAGGCGAATGCTGCGTTGTTTTGGTGGTACCAAAACAGCTTCCGGGGGGCATCTATGGCGCATGGTTCTATTTTGGCACAAGGCTTTCGTTTACCATGGCTTAGCAAACAGGTATATCATCGGAACCCTGTGTGCAGCATGAACGCAACTGATCGTATCACCCATTCGCACTTGGGAATGTTCACTAGACTGCGCCATCAGTCTCAGTGAGAGTCTGAGCTTCAGGACGGCTCAGTGGTCACTTGGGGCTTCGCTCCCTTTGGTGGCACGTCACCTCCAGAGGCGCGATGAAGCAACCCAAAGGAGTGTTGGAATGCAAGTTCGACCACTTGGTTTGCCGCTTGTTTTGTTGGCTTTCCCGGCTTTTCCGGGTCCTTGCCGTGTTCTTGCCAACGAAGCTTTCCCTGGTTTCATGGCCTACATGTTTGCAGTAGTTAGGGTCCTTTGAACATCCGTAGTGCTCCGTTTAGACCACCTTATGATTATGTAGTTTGTTTGCGCACGCTTCTGAGTGCCAAGGCACAAAGCAAGGGCGCACCTGTGCTGGAGATCATTGGGAATGGCTGTGCTTTTGCTGCTCGGCGTGACGATGGCACCGTGCTGCTGCTCGCCGCAAGGGGGTGGGGGAGCAGTCGTAACATACTGTAACAACATACTGCAGTGACTTTTGTTTGCAGTCTGGTACTTTGTTGTGTATTACAGCGTGGCGACCTGGCAATTGAAGTATTGCCGGTGGTGCAGGGCTTTTGTCGAAGACACTGTTTGAATATCGCACTGGCTTGCATGACGAAGTGCGTTGTACTATCACCGCTGTCACCAGTACATCTCAGTATGTGCATCCTATGCAAGGAGACCATATGGTGAGCCGAGGCACCTGCTTTAGAGCCACAATGCCATACATCTAAAACCATGTGTTGGTGCAACATACTGTATGTCCACACACTAGAGCTCGTGTCAGTGGAGATGATTCCTGATACAAGCGCGCAAGGCCATTTGCTAGTCCTTCAGTCAATTGATCTGCGTGTGTGAGGATTGGAGTTGCAAGTCCTGCTTCTGAGGACCTGGGGCGTGGCTGACCGTGGAGGGGAGGTGCCAGAAGAGACGAAGGCCAGGTGCCTTTTTCGGGGTGGGCCTCTTTGGGAGAAGAGCTTCAGTGCTTTTTGCATGTTCGCCTGGAGCCCAAGAAGCTTCTAGGTCCTAAAGAACCCAAGAGCTTCTGAAGTGCTTGTTTTGCAGTACTTCAATGCTGGAAAGCCCAAGAAGATCCCAACGAAAACCCTTGGAAGCGCCCTTCGAAGCGAAGGCGTCGGAGCTGCTTCTCGTCGGTCTCCGCCATCCCGTCGAGGAGAAGCTGCGTGATGTGACGCAGCTCGCTGCCACCTACTTCGGCTTCTGCGCGGTACGATCTGATGGGACCGTGGTCACATGGGGGGGACCCTGGTCAGCAAAAAGCGTCCTTAATTTCCAGCGACGCGCGGAAGAACGTAGGTTTCCATGGTGTACAGTTGCCCTGAATTCTTGAGCAGGACACGTCCTTGATTTGTGGATGCTAAAGTCTTGGATCACTCAAGATTGAACCCTTGTATTGTTGAGTATCCTGCATTTTTGCATTTCACTGCTCATGTCACGACAAAAGCTTCAGGTTTTGGCAAGCTTGGAGGCTCTATCCCAGACAGCCTGCGCCACTTGGGCCCAGCACGCTGCGGGTTTTCTGATGTCGCGATCTCCCAGGAAGATGGGAGCTGAAAAACACTGGGATGTCCTGGAGCCCCTTGGGGCCGAACCCCCCCCGCAGCGCAGCGCTGCGTCTTCCGACCGTGCCGGTGCCCAGCCCCGCGCGAGGCGGTGTGGTGTCTGTGGTGGGCTCTGCTTCGGCCTTGTGCGCGCGGCTGTGCGACGGTCGGGCGGTGGTTTGGGGTGAAGGGCCTGCAGCCACGGTCAGCGAGGGCTTGCAGGAGCGAAGTGAGCGAAGGGGTGGGGGTTGAGTAGAGAATCCTCTTGTAGAATCTGACCAATCAATTTGGATTCGACCATTTATATACATGAAGTTTACCAACTGTTTCTTCTCAAATGCTGCGGCAGCTGGGGCTGCCACAGGTTTGAGTCTAAAACACCTGCTTCATTTCGCGTGTGCACCATTTCGACTTGGCGAGCAAAGTTAAGCTTTTTGGTCAGAGCCCCTTGCCTCCAAGCACTGAGCACATTCCCGAATTCCCGAGCCAACCCAGTCGGCATATTCTGGTATATACTACATTTTCCTTCCGAACCCTTGGACGTGCAGTACCAGGGGTCCTCTCAGTCAGCATTTGCTACTGCAGTTTTTACTTTCTTTTCAGTTTATTTTGCAAGATCGGAATGAGAGGATGCCCCGTGAACCATTCATGTTGGCGCACCGAAAAAACCTGCCGCCAGTTGTTCATTCTTTTAAACGAAAGCATTAATGCAGATATACACTTTGATGCCAAACGGTCTGTCCTTAGGTCCTTGTCCTGGTGTATTCTTTTTGCCGGCATACTCCGAAATCTTCCCAACTTAGTGGTATGTAAATATTTTGTGACATTGATCTCTGGGGCTGTTCTGAGAAACATCGTTGTAAGTGCTACGTTGCATAAAATCGATAATCATCCCTTGATGCAACAGGCCCCTGTGCTCCACCTTGTCAGGACTGCCTCCCTAAGACAGATTTTGACAACCCCCCTGTATAATACACAAGAAGTATGTGAACAACGACTTGGGATTAAAGCCACGAGTCTTGATGACGGCAGAACCCACCTAAGATAGACAGGGCGGTGGAGCAGGGCGGGAGTGGCCTCCCCCCACTTGGCGCTTACTGGAGACAGGAACAACTGATCTCAGTGCAGCAGATTTGCGCAGGCCGGGGCTGGTTTAACTATGAGCCCTTTGATTGAAGACTTAATCCCAGAATGCTGCAGTTCAAAAGAAGCTTGGCCCCAAGAAAGGCACACAAGTTGGTAAACATGTGTGACTCAGTCACCCTTTGTACATCTGGAGCCTCTTTTCTTCGGTGTTTTTGGAGGGGCCTCAGAGGCCTGTTTCTGGACTGATCGGCCACAAGTTTGCGCCCAGGGCGCGATGCCTTTGCCGTGGTGCGGGCGGATGGGCGTCTCATTTCCTGGGGCAACACTGGGGCCCAAGAGCTGGAAGGGGTGACGAGGACGGAGTGGCAAGCTGTCGGGGGAACCGGGAACCGGTTTGGGCGGATGGGCGAGCGTTCTGTCTTGAGCGCGCTGGAAGCCAGACTCTGGAGCCAGGCTTTGGATGCAGCTTTTCCACACAGAGCTGGAAACTCTAGGGGTTCTACTTCTCTCAGAGCCTTGGAGCCAAGCCCTGCCACTTTTCTCTTGGGCTCAACGGACCTTCCCGTCGAGACACGGTCCGTCTGGGCCGCTGGGTTTGGCGACGGCAGTGACCGGTCAGGCACCGAAAATCGGTCAGGCACCGCAGGGTTCGGCAGGTCGAAACGACCCCGGTGAATCCGTGTGACACTGAGGGTCAATGAGGTGTCCTGAGTGAAGTGATGTGAGTCGGGGGGTGTTCGGCGATGTTGCAAATGACCTCCTCCTGCTGCTGCTGCTGCTGTACTACCTATGGCCACTACTAGGATGACGTGCCGCTACTGATGCGCAACAACGGCTCCGACCACCACTGCAACCGCTGCTGTGCTGCCGCCCGACGACCCATGTGACGCCACGGCATCGTTCTGGTCGAGGGGTTTTCGTTTGGAGCGATGCAGCACGGCAGTAACAAGGGCATCGCTACTAGTAACAAGGGCATGCGGCGTTACTACTACTAGTAGCACGAAGCTGCTATGTACCTATGTGCTACTACCAGCAGAGGTTGAAGAACCCTATAGACACCATCCTATAGGTACCCCTGTAGGGTCCTATTTACGGTTGACCTCACCAGTAATGCACTTGTAGCACTTCCAGCACGGCAGGGTCTTCAGCTCCCCGGGCGCCTTTGCTGCGGTGATGAACGCTGGCGAGGTGCTGTGCTGGGGAGCGGCGGAGCATGGCGGGGTGCCGGACGCGACAGCACAAGAGGCGCCTGCGTTTGGAGTGCGTGGGGCGTCTGAACGGAACGTGGAGTTGTGCGTGGGGCGGTCTATAACGGGCGGTCTATAACGGAACGTGTTTTTGGATACTTCGAGCTGGCGGACTTCCTCACCAGATTTGGAGATTTGGGCCTGCTGTATTGGGAAATTCAATGCGTGCTGACACCACCCATACTATATTGGAAAAGACCATCTCCCGACAGACGTCTTCTCGTCTGGAACAAGGTACACTCATTGATCTCATTGTGACGAGATCGGTTTTGATTCGCGATGTGGTAGAAGTGGGTCTTGCTCATCCAGATGTGCGTCACCTCTGCCTTATAGAATCTTTTAGATTCGAGTAGCAATCGGTACCTTTTCAGGTTACCTTTTCAAAACCAGGCTGCATGAGGCATGAGGCATGTGGCAGTGGATGAAGACCGAGAAGCTCCTAGCTGGAAGGACATTTTTGGATATGGGTCGGGTTTTCAGGATGCCTTTTGCTACATGAAAGGCACCAAAAGGTCAGCTGTTCTTCCTCGTTTCAACACCTACAGCCTCCGGTGCACTCTTAGATTGAGTATATAGTGTCTAGAGGTGATAATGATAGCCTTGTTCTTGCCGGGCCTGGTTACCTTTACCACTGTACTCATTGACGAATGCAACGCACATGCCCGGGTTTGCTTCAGCTGTCAACAGCAGGCGCTGCGAAACGCATTCCGGAAGTGCTGAATGTTTGGTGATTGGAGTGGGCGTGTCCCAGAAAGAACAAAAAGCTGCGCTGCGGACAGCGGGGGGTCAGTGTGCATGCAGAAAGATACCAACCCGGTTGAATGATTATAACATCCGAAGTGACCTTGCACAACGTTCATGCAAGACTCAGCGGTTGCCAGGCATTTGGAGAATCGTAAATTGTGATTGCTTTGGTTTCATTCTTCAAGAGCAGTGGAGGGAAGGAAGTGTATCTCTCCCTCATCAGTCTTTGGAGCACATGCCCCCACTAGTGCTTCTAGTGGGCCTGCCATTCCAATCATGGATAGGTTGGAACACTCCCCACTCGATTCGTATTGTGATCGCCCTTGCCACCAGAACTGTCCAATGACAAACGAATTGAATAGGCCTTGATATCTCTTCATCCGATCCAACCACCACCCCCTCGCATACCTCCATTCAAGTCATCCCGAAGTGAAGAGCACACGGAGCTAGGTTCTATCCACTCATTCTGCTTGAGGATGGCTCATCGGATCATCGGTTCCCTCTTGAGGCAACCCATTCGCCAGAACGCTTGGCTCTCCTGTCCGACTCCTCTCCTGTCCGACTCTGCGGACGCTCAAAACCGGAGGCTTTTCCAAGATCTTATCCATGACCAGCCGGAGGACCCCTGGGCCTACATCGACCGCCGTTCAGGGGCCCAAAAAGTTCGGTCGGGTGCAGCCCCGGTGTCGGGGGCGCCGTTTGGAGCAACGGATTTGGGGGCATATGCCGGAGGTGCTTGCAGAACATGTTGTTCGGCCAAGGCTGTTTAGTGTATTTCAGCTTTCAAGACACGATGCAACCCTTTTTGACTAGGTTGCCTAGGTTCCTTTTTTTCTCTCCAATTTTTGTTCAATCATTGCCTTGGAGCACCGAGGCACCAGCGAAGCCCGCACCGCGGACCTCATCCACAAAGCAGTGATCTAAGTTGACAGCTTCTTTCCACACCCACTCAGAATACATGTGGGGAGGAAGGTGAGAGGCCTCTTCTTATGCAATCTTATGCACTCTATTTCATTTGTTTCTCAGCCAGGCAGAGCTCAAAAAGATGGACGAGGTGGCATGGGTGGCATGGGCGGGTGGGTTCGGTCATTATGAGCGTCCTGAGGGCAAGCGTGTTTGAGGACGAAGGGCTGCAACCCCTTTGTGCAGGTATGTTCGTTGAGATGTTGAGCCAACTCCCCACCAACTCGATGAAGCGTGGCTGGGAGAAGCATGACTGGATCGAATCCGATGGGGTCCTTTGTTGTGCTGGAGTCGTCGCAGCCGTTGATCCCCATCGCTTCCTTTATTCATGGTGCACGTTTTGAGAAGCTCCCTACTTGGCACACATGGATGTGATCCACGCATGCGCCTGGCGCATCAAGCCACCACTTCCACTCCCGTGGCGGTGATCGATCCGCAGAGGCGAAGCTGGGCGGCTGGCAACAGGCGCTGCCTTCGGCCCCCGTCGCGCCGGTCGGCGGATCGGCCCTCGAAGGGGGCGAGGTTTTCGGGGGGGGAACACACGTGGAACACGTGGAACGCGCCGTGAGAGTTTTTTTTGTTTTCTTTTTTCACCCGTTTGGGAGCTGGCACCAGAGGGTGAAGTTTGGTGCTTGGGCACCAGAACCTGCCACCTGGCACAGGTGGGTTCCAGTTTTTGGCCCTTTGGAGGGCTTTTTGGGGGTTGACATAGGCCATGTCATGTAGAAGGTAGAATGTGTGCACCATTCTTGAGTTGGATTTGGGATGGCTGGTAGTCCTCGGTGGTGGCACCTTCTTAGCGCAAGAGCGCTCCCTTCAAAAGGGTCTTGCACATCCCTTGGGGTCATCCCGTGGCCCATTGCTGATCCCTCGTTCCTACAAGCTCGCTTGAAAAACACGCGTCACGCGCCATGCGTCACGGGGCCTTCAGGCGCCGGACTTGCCGGAGGCTCCTAGGAACTTGGAGGAAGAGGATGGTGAGCTGCAAACCGAAGTGGCACCCCGGCTGAGAGGGTGGTGACATGCGGTGATTGATGACCGGTGACCTGTGGGATTGCCCTGGAGTTACGGTAGGATGGCATGAAGAATCGGTTTTTTCATGGTTTTTCTGAAGCCTGCTTCCCTGTCAGTGAGATGATGGTCAGTCGTCTCTGCTCCACGACCTCCGCTCAGGAGGTGCTCGACAACATCCGACTGAAGGCGCACAACGCGCTGATGAAGGCGGCCGAGGCGCGGCGACAGGAAGTGGGCGGGGAGTTGGGAAGCACTGGAGAATGACACGCAATGACTCGAACGCATGAGCAAATTGGAGCATGCGAAACCATTTATCAAGCCGCAAGACCCTTCAAGGCTTTGAAGCTTGGACCACTTGGCTTTCCCATTTCAGCAACAGATGAACCTCCGAGTCATTCACACGGAGATCACATGGAGATCGTGCTCGCTCGTATCGCTCCGGCTGACTTGGTGAGCTGTGGGGATCGGGGGGCGCCCACCTGCCAAGAGGAACTCGCTCCACTGGATGCACGGGAGATGTCTTGAAATCAGGCACCCCACCGAGCAGGGAACCTCCTGGCCCACCAGGCAGCAGGCTTTTGTTCATGGTGAAACGGCCACAGAGCCGAGCCCACAAGGACGTGACTCCTATTCACCTTTCCCATCACTTGCTGCCACTTGCAGGATGGCTCTTTGGAGAAGGCCTTGAACTTGGCACCCGAGCAGAGCCTGGACCAGATTCGCACCTGAGCTGAGCCCAGATCCACTCTCTCATCCACTGCTGGCCTGGGAAAATGGCTTTGTCTGGTGAGCAGAAGACCGGTCCTATCCTTTTCCCTTTCCGAAACACTCCCGCTCCTTTGGCAACGTGCAAATTCTTGGGCAAATCCCAATGTGTTGGCAAATAATGCTACACAATGCAACCCGGTCGTTTGCCTACAAGTGTGTTAAAAATTGGTTCGCCAAGCAATCCAAGATCCAAGCCCAGTGATCTCGGGGTTCTTCAGCGTCCACATCTTCCGACGGGCTCGTCCAGGAGAGAAGGCCGCGAGGACGTTGCTGGCAGCTGCAGAGGATGGAAGCCTGGATAGCGCCCTGCGAGGGAAGGTGCCAGGGGGAGAGGCAAAATGTCTTGAGGAGGGACGGAGGGACTGTACATGACTATACAATATATGCAATTGCTCTAATCCTATCCCACTGATTCTGGTGCATGAATTGGCACTTTCCAACACCGGCTCACCGGGCCAGAACGGCCGAACACAGGGCGAGCGCGATCGCCTGCGCAAGCCCGATCTGGCCAGGGCATGAATGAGGACGAGCTGAATGCGATCCGCAAGGATGGACCGGCAATGTCCTCTCGCCACAATCCCGGTGGCTGGGGAGAAAGGATCTACCAAAACGACCAGCATCGAACAAGATCAACACCAGACTTCCCGTCGTTTGGGTGTCCGTCTGGGCTGTGTTCTGCAGGAAGCGGCGGCCACCTTGCTGAAGGCGGCCGAGGATGGGAGCCTCGAGGCAGTGCTGCAGAAGAAGGGCCAGGCCAGGATGCACCAGGATGCATCGATAAGTCTTAAGATCCGATGTCCACGGATTGTGACCATTCCTTTGGCCATTCCCCGTCGCCGAAGCGGCGCTGACTTGCGGGCACAGGACACGGACGCCTTGCGTCAGGAGGCTGCGGCGACACTGCTGAAGGCTGCGAAGGATGGCACCTTGGAAGCGGTGCTCAGCAAGAAGGGCGGACAGGACTTCCGAACCGCGCGCCTGGTGGCGGCAGTGGCGGTGGGTCCAATGCATTTGCGCCGGCGCGCGGGAGACTTCAACTGCTTTGAGAGCGCCCCACGACATTTGGTGTCTTCCAAGGCTAGATGTAGAAGGGGTTAGTTGGTCATGAGTCATGCCAGGAAGGCCAGGTGAACATTGATGAGCCTCAGTCTGGCCCAAACAAACCAAGCACTGCTTTTTTTGGGCGTGTGCTAACATGCCCATTGCCCTTTCGAGCATTCACGCGACGCGACCGCCGCTGGCAGAATGCGATGGCATGGTGATCTTTTCTCCAGATGACGAGCTGTTCGGTAGTGATCCCACACCCACATGCTCGCCGGTGGCCCACCGTCCACCAGAGCCCTTTATCCTTTCCAATGGGATCAGGCGTCCCAGGAGAACTGCTCAGAACATGGTGGCTCACATGAAAATGATCGACTTCTTGGATGAGTGGGGCTTCAAGAGCGATGATGTGAATCAGAGTGGCACCAGCGACCGCTTCCCGAATGAAAAGGTCTCCCCCATCCACGTCGCAGCTCAGCAGGGCGATGTGGACGTGCTGCGGCTCCTGTTAGCCGCCGGCGCCGATCCCCGAACCAGGACCTCCCAGGGTCGCAGTGCCCAGACGGTCGCAGAGGTCGCCGATCAGGTCGGCTCGCATCGCAGGATCCTGGCCATGCTGAGGGCTTCTTGCAAGACCTGGGAGGGCAATTAACGGTGTGACCGGCGAAGGCACCTTCTTCTGCCGTATGCCGTACGCAGTCGTTTTGTCCGGTGGGTCCTTTGCATCGATGCTAGATCGGTGAAAAGACCTGCCCAGTCGCTCCGCGGGTGGACTTCCCCACCGACACGTGTGGCACCAGGCCCCACGGTTGGCTTTTCACCACCCGACACCTTCTGGCTGAAAGAAGAGTGGACCGGAGCTTTGGCGGCGGGATGGGCATGTTGACCAGCAGGATGGTGCATTGAAACTCCGCTTTGATCAGTTTCTTCGGACCATGGAAGCTAAGCAGACCTGGCAGACCCTCCAGAAAGTAACTGTTTCACTTCCATGATTGTTTCAGGGAGTGGAGGAAGTTCACAATCGACACGTTTGCATGAGTTAAGACGCCTTGGGACCATGAAGGACCGTGCTTGACCGTGCTCGACCAAACAGTAACATCATGAACACGGACTTAGACTATTAGAGTCTATTATTAGAGGGACTACCATTCTGAATGTCAACCTGTGCTTTTTAGGGTTTGGTTGTAAGTTGTAACTCGCATATGCTGCATGCACTTTCTGTTTGTAAGGTACGAGATTCTAAGGTAACGCAAGTGTCCAATTCTGTGCATACATTTGTTAGACTCTGTGTGATTCTGTTAGATCTAGTGACATGGCTCGAAGGGGGTATCGCGTGACCCGTTTTACCCTTTCACCTTTGGTGCTTGTCCCTAGTGAACGGGACCCCGTCCTATGCCCTAGAAGCATGAGGTGTCCAAGCGTTGACTGCTGCCAGCTGTACGTCCTTTACACTCCATCCACCTCCCTTTGTACTCCCTGCGAGCCTGCAGGACGTGGAGGGGCTTCGACAGCAGGCCGCTGCTACCTTGCTGAAGGCTGCAGAAGATGGCACCCTACAGCAGGTTCTCAGTCGGCGTGGCGAAGAGGTGAGCCCACCGACGTGAGCTCTCGTTCCGGTTCCACAGGGCCCCCGTCCTGGCCGCACCGAGAAATCGTGGGTCTGGGGGGTCTTCCATCCGGTGCCACTTGGAACTTCTAAAGCACCGAAAAGAGAGCAAGACGTGCTGTATATATATATATATTATATACACATGTCGTTTTGAAGTTGAGGTGGTGCAGGACTTCTTAACGGACGCTGGTCACAGCAATTGGATGCAATTGGTATGGGAAGAACCCTGGATTTATGTCTTGAATGTCTTGATATCCTTGATGTGTCCTTCTGGGACGTCCGCGACACATCCCAAAAGTAGGATGCCATCTCCAGATGTCTACCGCCCTGCCCCCGAAAACCGCGTTGTCCCTGTTCGAAATCCAGGACGTGGAGGCCTTGCGACAGGAGGCTGCCGCCACGTTGCTGCAAGCGGCGCAGGATGGATCCCTCGAGGCGGTGTTGAAGAAGAAGACCGGGCCCAAGGCCCGACGTCCACGGCGTCCACGGCGTCCACGGTCGACGGACTTGCTCAAAAGAACATGATTCCACCATTGCTCACCCAACTAAGACGCCAGAGCATCAAGACACTTTGCTTCAAAACTCTCTGAACCGCCCTCCGACCTTCGGTCGGATGAGTCATGCCTTCGTCCCCCGTCCTTCTGCCAGTTCCCTCCGTCGGCAAGAGGACTTGGACTCCTTGCGGCAAGAGGCGGCCAGCACACTGCTCAGGGCTGCAGAGGATGGAACCCTACAGGCCGTGCTGAGCAGGAAGACCGGCCAGGCCGAACATGGGCCGAAGAAGGGGGGCGAGGTGGTGTGGGTGCCTGCGTGGCGGCACCAAGGGTGGGAGGCGGTACGAGGGGGAACTGGGGTCTCTGGCCTGGGATTTTTGAGGAGAACATGTGAATAGCACTGTACAACGACAACTTGGTACAAGCACTCTCAGCCTTGTCATGTAAGTCCTGGGTCCTTGCCTTGGCCAGATGCAGGATGCGGAGTCATTGCGGGAGGAGGCTGCAGCGATTCTCCTGAAGGCACACCGGGCATGTTTTGGGCACAACCTGACCCGAAGGACCTATATATGTCTAAGTATAGTATAGCCTTTCAGGGCCGCCTTCCATAGATCAGGGGGCCCTGATGTGAACACACAAGACCAGAGACCCACCAAGCTTAGGCCGCTTGCATAGCTGTTTGCACACGGGGCCTCAGTGACCCAACAGACCACTGTGATGAACGAAGCCGAAGCGTCAACGAGAAAGCGATCAACCAAGGCTGCCGAGGATGGCACCTTGGAAGCAGTCCTCAAAGGTTCGGCGAAGGTGCAGCAGGCAGGGTTTGAGTGTTTGAGGATAGGTCGGGCGTGGCCTTTGGGGAGGTGGGACGAAATCTGGTTCATCCCCCAGCTTTGCAGAAAATGGAGGTTGAAGGATGTTGGAGGGTTTGAACTCGGTTTCAGCGAACCAACATGTGGTGCCCTTTTGGTGGCTTCTGGAAGCATAGCTTTGAACTTTGTTGATGAACTCACGTCAATCTCTGGGCCTAGAAGTTGGCCCGGGCTGTTTTAACTGGGGGCCAGGACAAGGAGCAGCTGAGAGTGAGGGCCGGCAAGATTCTGCTGCAAGCAGCCAATGATGGCACACTGGAAGAGGTGCTCATCAAGAAGTCTCAGGAGGACACGGTGTCGGGACGACGGATGTCGGTGTCCCAGCTGGGCGGCTCCATCCCCTACCTCATCCCATTTCCCAAGACGAGAGTTGGTTTTGAAGGGTCATGGCTTTCCCACGAAGACTCCGCTGACTCCACGCCCGAAACGCCTGGTCAGCCGGAAGATGGAGGCCCCGTGGATGCATGGGGCCGAATGGAGTTCCGAGAGCAGCGAAGAAAACACGCCTGCGCCTGATTCTAGTTGATCTACAATAAGTGCGGAACTCCTTGCAGCAATTTGAAGGGGCCTGAAGTAGGTGGCGGTTGGGTGCTCATAAACCGCACTGTCCTAGCCGCAGGATGAGTCCGTGTGTTGTCATTTCAACGGCAACGGTCGACCCCAAACCGTCAAAGGTCCGTTGAAGACGCCGTTCTGACTTGTGCTCTATAGGGAATGAGGGAATGGATCCAAAAGAATCTCTATTGGGGGTTCATTCTCTCATTTCCTACGAGTCGCGCCAGTCAGCGTTTTGGTTCGTTTTCTTCAGCTCCCCCCTTGAGGCTCTCCGAGCCCTCCGGGACCCAGGACTCCGAGAAGCTTCGCCGAGACGCGGCGGCCGCGCTACTGCAAGCGGCAGAGAATGGGACCCTGGAGGAGGTTCTGAAGATGCAGGACGGGTTTCCTTGCGCGTCGTTCGGTTCTGTTTCCACACCTGCGTCCACGTGACCTGTTCCGATCTGGGCGACAAGGTTCGTGTTCGCCACGGTGCACCAGACCAACGGTTGTTTGGGACTTCATCGGTAGATCGGCAATTACACATGGACAGCGTGGGAAGAAGCCAGAGAGCGCGTTTGGGATTGCAGGGTGGGTGTTGTTCAAAAACATCCTTGAAACTTGTGTAAGGTAGAGACGGTTACGCAATTTATTCCAAAAGAGGTAAAAAACCACCTGAAGATGTAAGACGTAAGACCATTCTGGTACTTGAAGGGGAGTTAGATTCACCAACAGTATAACAGCCATCTATTCTATTGCAATGTATTTTCTCCCTCAGGCCATTCCAGGCCATTCGCGGAGCCGTCGGCTCTTGCTGCCCGGCTCTGGTGGTCCGCGACGACCGGATTTTCGCCAAGCGGCCAGGGCTCCCATGTGGAGGCCATCCGCCAAGAGGCAGCACGTGCTCTCAGCCGAGCTGTGCAGGACTGAGCGGTGCAGGAAGACGCAAGTTCGGGAAGAGGTGAAAATCCGAGAAAGGCACCTGGTTGAAACGAAGAAGGCATCCTTTCTGGTGAAACACCGGTTGGATCTGTTGGATTCAGACATGCACCTGCTTGCTTCGAAAAAGTACGTCCAACCTCAGAAGATTGAAGGCCTGGGTCTTAACTAATCACCATGTGGCCACCCGGGGTTGGAGATTGGCTTACTTGGTGGATCTCAGGCAGGCGCGTCCCGGGCGACACCTAAGACACCGCTGTTTCACGGGGTTTCATCGACGGGCATCGACGGGGCATCGACGTTTCACGGTTTCCCGGACGCTGCGAGACGCAGGAGCCTGGAACCCTGGAAGCCGCCATGGCCAAAGCCAAGGGTCAATCTCAGGAGAGCTGGGGGTGTCCAAACAGGAGGCAGATTGCTGATGCAGGGTGCAAAAGTTGCCTTTTTTGACTTCTTCGGATCAAGCAGCTTCGGACAATTTTGGTTGATTTGCTTTTCCTCAGCGGGTTCCCATATTCTATCATATTCTATCATATTCCACTGGCTTGTTCGGTCCCGACTCCACCCCGAATCGCGTGCCCTGGAGCTGGCGTCGCTGCGTCACTGCGAGATGCGAGGACCGAGATGTTGAAGTCTTGAAGCAGGAAATGGCAGGGGAGCAGATGCCGGGGCCAGTGCGTGTCATAATATATAAGGAGCGACTGGAGAACTACCCTCCCCTCCAACAATCATGGAAGCGGAAAATAAGCTCGTGGAAAGATATATTTTCCATTATTTTCCTCTACAAACAGGGGGTTGTCATATATCCACTTCCATGTCCCGTCGATCTTGATCGGGAGGGCCACAGAAGTTTTAGAAAGGCCTTGATCGGGTGACTTGCTCCAAAAATGATGGCCATGTGAAAGCCATGATCCATCACACAACTGCCGGTGCATGGTGTGCGGCTGCAGACAGGGCTCCCCGATTGAAACTCTCCTTGAACAATTTTCTTTGACTTGTATGTAAGTATATATATATATTACTATATCTATTTTAATATCAATATCTATATTTACATCATATGATTTATGCCAGGGCCCCTGACTGTCTATTAATAGCCCTTTAGAGGGCAAGGGGTCTCCATTAACCACCCCTGGTGGGTCTTTGCATATATATTATACATATGTATAATGGTGTCGACCAGTCCGTAGGATCGACCAATGCACATCATTCGTACGCACAAAGAAGTGCCATAGGAAACTGACACTTGTTCCATCGTTGGCATTTTTTCTCCACATCAACCGTTGAAAACCGCTACCATTTGCCCATTTGGCATCATTTGGTATGATTTGGTCCTAAGTTTAAGGCCCCCCAAATGCCGATGGCATTGATTTACTACAATCGATTCCCAGGTATGTAT